GCCATCCTCCTGCATCAGCCTCCCAAGCCACTGGGATTACAGGCATGCGCCACCATGCTGCCTTATCTCATGCCTTTTAAAATGTGTGTTCCATCTACCTAGACCACATTTCCCACACCAATATCAAACACCATCCATTTGTCCTTCCCATCTCGATGGACAATCAGGGTTGCCTCCATCCCCTGGCTTCAATTAGGCTCCATTCAACATTATCTTTTGCTTTTCCCAACAAGATTCTCATCAGCCAATTACTTAACAATCCTTAGCGTCAATTTCCTCATCTTTAAATGTACATAATGAAAGCAGTTTCCATTTACTGAAAACACTATGATAAAAAACAATATGATAAACTGAATATGAGTGTTGAAGGAGTGAAAAATGTGACGATGGCTCTTAGGTTTTGCAATGTGTAGCTGATTGGACGATAGAGCCCTTCCACATACCAGAGTCCCAAATCAGAGTGACATGCTGTAGTCATTGACTTCACGTCTGATGGCCTGTTGTAAAGTTTCAGAAATGATAGCTGCAATTGCTGTTTCACAGAGAAGGAAAGTACAGCTCAGCACAATTAAGCAACCTGGGTGACAGAATCCCTATGACCCCTATTATGATCTGGATAACTTCAGCTATTCAGAAGTTCAGATTTATTCAAATCTGACTTTACTATAAATTTAATAGGTCCTTTTACAGTCTTCCAAATAGTCCTTAGGGTGGAGACTACCTGTCAATGTCAATTTACAGAAATGTAACATTATAGGAGAATTCTTATATGTTCATTGGTTTTTAAAAACAACATGTGTTTGCTCAAATGATAGGTTTTATTTACCTCAATTGTAAAAAGCAGAAATTACCTTTACAAGCTTTGACACAAAATAGGGCATAATCTCTATTGAAATATAAATTGAAAATTTGCAAGTAAAAGCCTTTTGTGTTGTATAGTTTTTATGTATACAGATGCACAAACAAACACATATCCCTTAAAGGTCTTTTGTATGAATGTTTAGATCAGTTCTCTTTTTTTTTTTAACCAGGGAATAAGAGATTATTATATTTGCAATTAGTTGTTTAAGGCTGTCATTACAGTAGTGTGCAAATATGAACTCAATCTGTTTTCTTAGGTTCTTTCCTATTTCCCTCTTTCTTTCTTTAATTAGATCCCAAGGTGCTTCCCTACCTTTTCAGTCAAAAGTCTTGTCCAGTTTAAAAATTCAGTCTCAGCCTTTGTTTGGCCTCATTTTCTCCCTTATCCTACCTGAGTTATGAGTTGGGTACCCTGTGGAGAGTAGGTTCCTGGTTTGCTCTAAGAGGCATGGCTCCACCTTCAAAGTTCTGCCCTTTTCCAGGGAAGGAAAGGGAAAGGCATCCTGCCCCTGGATCAATTCACTGACCTTGTTAACCAGGTCTTGAGGTCTTTCCTCTGAGAGGCAAGAAAGACTGGTCATCCTGGGAGATGTGTGAGTTCTTTGGAAGGAGGCATGCCCCTGCAGTGGTCCCACTATTCCACCCAACCTCTTCCACTGCCATTTGGCCCCCATATTATGGTTGGTACATCCCACAGCTCCCAGCTGGGGAGGCAGTCTTTAGTCGAAGAATAGACTAGAAGACAACTACACTATTTCCTCCATCTTTGCCCTGTCGTCTCTCTCCAGGTCTTCACTCAGAAAAACAAGAGAAACAAGTCTGTGTTTGCACCAAAGAAAGCGAATCTCTTCTTGCACCCAGCCCAAGTCTCATCATGCCTTTTAACACCTTATGCCCCCTCCCTCAGGGTGGCTGTCCCCAGCCACTGCACTCCTTTCCACGACTCCTTCTCTGTAACTTCAACTCTTTTGTCCCAAATCTAACCCAGTCTTGGGAGCAGAGTGGCTCTATCTACAAATAAAAAATCCCAAATATTTCTGACTTGTCCTCCCAGCAGGAATTTCTCTGAATCTTTAATTTGCTAATATATGGTATCCTGAAAGTGTCCTTTGGGTACTAAGTGCCTTCTTTTCCCCCCTTTAGGATCTTGGTCAACATTTCAGGGACAATAATAAAATCTTTCTATTGATTAGTATCTTCATTTTGTAGATGAAGAAATTGAGGTCTAGCGGGCTTATATAACTTGTCCTTGGTCAAGCACATGATCGCACATCCTCTGCCATTTCCTGCTTTTATTGGAGGAGAAGCATTAGGTGATATTCTATCCAAGGGAAAACCCAGACGCTTGGACCTAAGGAGGAACAGGGTAAAAGTCTTGATTGGTATAGCTCCAGAAAGGCATCTTTTCAGAGACATCTGGGGGCCACCCGGGGAAAACCCTGTGGCAGAATCCCAGGTAGTCTTCCAAATAGTCCTGAGGGTGGAGACTACCTGTCAATGGCTATAATTATTGGGAGAAAGCATGACATAAAAGCTAGTGGCTTGGGATTCCATCTCTTGGGTCCCCTTCTTCCTCTGGGAGAAGTCTTTTCTGCTGTCCTTTAATAAAGCCTCTACTTTCCACTCTGAAAAAAAAAAAAAAAAAAAAAAAAAAAAAGCTAGTGGCTGAAGGGCATATAGAGAACTGCTTCTAAAATAACCTTAAATTAATGTTAGGGCCATGATGCTACAACTGAGTTTTAAGATACCGACCTGGAAGACTCCAGAGGAAAAGGCAATAAAGATAATAGCTAATATTTCAGGCCACTTACTATGAGACAAGAACCATTAATTACATACATTATTTTGCAACAAACTTTGAAACAAAGACTTTCATTTTCTCATTTAAAATTAAAGTAACTAAGCTTAGAGATGTCATCTAACTTGCACAAAGGCATTCAGCCCAAAGAGATAGTAAAGAAAATATTTTTATCTTTATAAAAACACATTTACACATTTACTTTTTTTTTTGGTGGGATGGGTGGGGATGCTGGGAATTAAAACAAACTTGACTTGTGCTAGACATTTTTTTTTCTTATTCAGCCATTAACAAAAAACGGTGATTAAAGAATTTTTCCCTTTGTTTTACAGAATAACCGAAAACAAGGAACAGACCCCAGAAAGGCAAATGCTTCTAAACCTTCAAAGATGGCAAAATTGTTTACACCAGTGCGAAGGAGATCAAAAGCTAAGAAGTACCCTGTAGCCAAGACTGCAACTTGTACTTTAAAGCCATTATTCAAGGTTTCTTACTTGACAGTTCCTACATGACCCTGTTGAAAATCTACAATATATGCTGCATTTAATGAAACATGTATATGTCAAACCAGAAGAAAAGAACTATAAACATATATTGTGTAAAGAAAAAAATCAGCAGTGAAACCAGTTTCAGCAGATCAAGCAAAGATGTGTCTTGGGCATGGAACCAAAGTTACAATGAAACATTCAACCCCTGCTGTGCAGGGGGGGTCATTTTAATGTAACACCACACCCCATGGAAATACCAGTCCTCAAAATAAACACAATTTTAAAAAATCAAAACAAAACCAACAACAACAAAAAAAAATAAGGGTGGGTGGGGAATGAAGCACGAGGAATACCTATGAGGAGCTATTTACAATAAAATGTTTCATTTGAAAAGTCTGGTTTCTTACTACAGGGATTTGCTTTTCTGTCTTTATGATTGTTTTAAACTCAGGAACAGAGACATCTGCAGTGTGAAGGGAAGAAAAGCACTCTCCATTTTGATTTTCTGCAAAAGATGAAGCTAGTGGAATGCATTGACAGATGACAGAAGTGGATCTCAGTGACCCTACCTAAAGTGGCAACCAAGTCAAAGGACTCCGGTGAATGTAACATGAGATGTAAATGTGGATTTGATGCTTCTTTATTCTTCTCTCACATCTGTACTCCTTCACCAACAACAGACTGATCTCATTCATATTAAGAAGATGATACTCTAAATTGCAAGCTCCCTGACTTAGTTCTGTTTAGAACACCAACATCCATAGGGAACATGGGCCAGAGAGTACCTCTGAATCCTTCTATTTCCATAATTGCTGGTTTTCAGTTTAAAAATTGCCTGCAATGAATATGCTATATGATTTGGGTTAAAACATCATATAGAGGTGATAAGTAAACTTCTACCAACAGTTGGGTTTACCACCAAAATGTGAATATTAAAATTTCCTGATATACCTAGAGCAATTTGACCTCTTGTCATTTAGAGTGATGACTTTTCTTCCTGGTCAGCTAGCAGCAACAAGATGGCTCTACTTTTCTACAGAGAGGTAACATTATGTTGCTGATAAGGCCATTTTATACCAGAGACAATTAGAAGGCCAGTATTTTTCCTAAGTTATGCATTACTGAGTCTTGGACTCAACTCTGAGAGTAACTACATGTTCCTGAAAAGTTAATTTTACACCTCATTTACTATAGATAACAAGATAACCTCAATTTTTCAAAATGTCAAGGTTTTATTTGTGGGGTTAGAATTCCCACGCATAAAGAATGTGTGTAGGGAGCCAGAAACTCTTTTGACAAAATGCTACACATATCTTTCCATATGTGAGTTCAGTATCTTTATCCTTCAGTTTTAGTGCTAACCTTTTTCAAGCCAGAACAATAACTGAAGAATCTGCAAGAAAATCTAGAACACTGGGGACCCACTTTTTGTCCTTGTACGTACTGCTGACCCAGATGTCTTTGACCCAGTCACTTAACCTCTCTGTGCCTCAGTTTCCTCATCTGCAAAATGGGGTTGAAATGCTTTTTCATGAAATATTTTATTTGCAATTCTGGAACAAGAGGTGCTTAAAGTAGCACAAAGTGCTTTGTAATTATTATAACTGCTGTATTTGACTTGTGTTGTTGAGAAAAAGATTCCCCTGTGTAATAAAATAGTGCTTCAGTTTGGTTAAATCTAAGTTTTGCAGCACTGAAGCATTGCCATCAAGCTACCTGAGACATTATTAGCAATAAAGATTGAGAGATCCCAAATCAGGATCTCTAGCCACCTATAGCAAAGAGTCATCTCATGCTATTGAACAGGACAGAGAGTGTGTCATTTCAATGAAAAGCATCTCCCAGCTCTCATGATTGCATCAAATAAAATTTCACTTTGCTTACATGACATCCAACCATGAAAGGCAGGCTTGGAAAGAATTGACAATATCATCCAATAAGCCTGATTATCGCTTTCATTTGTGGGGAAGGTCAGATGATATGTCCAACTGGGAATGTACAAGTAGAACTATCCTACTAGATTCCTTACCGTGTGTGTATGTGTGTGTGTGTATGGTGCTGGGGATTGAATCCAATGGGCTTCCTGCATGCCAGTCCAGTGCTTTACCAACTGAGCTTCATGTCCAGGTCATCCTACTGGATTCTTTAATCAACTAGATAGGTTCTAAATTAAATGTGAACCTCGGGTTCACAATGCAGTAAATGTGAAAGAGGATTACTTCTATGATGTCTATCACCTAACCTTAGCAAACCTCATTCAGAAAATATGGAAGAGGACAAATGGCTATCCTGTATCTCAAATCTTTCTCTTCAATTGCTCTGCTCTTACACTCCAGGGCCTATCTGAACAAATCCATACTCAATCTGCTCCACCAAACATACCTTCCTTCTCTTTATTTGGCATTCCCCACCAAGAAACTTGTGGGTTGAAATTTATATCCAATAACTATTTTCTAAATGATTAGAAATGTTTGCAAAACTTGTGTGGCTTCCTCATATATCCTGTCGGCTTGTCTGCTGTTAATTGGATTGTATGATATTTCCAATTATATGAGAATAACAATGATCACCTAGGAAGCTTTAGATGGGTTTAGGGCAGATGCAAAAGGAGATTTTTTTTTTTTTTTTTTTTTTTTTTTTTGCTTAAGACCCAGGACATCAAGCAAATTTCTCTAGACCGTAAGCTAAATGGTGATATTTTTGTTAAATCATGCTCATGATCTTCAAAATTAACTTATCAGATAAGTCTAAATATTTTTATTGATACATTTCTCTGTCATCTATTTCCACAATTATAACAGCATCAGGAAAATTGTATATTCATGTTGCAGTCATTCATGGATCCATAGAAATTGACCAATTTAAATGTATGGTTCCCCTTTACATTTGAAATTCAGCAATAGTAAACAGGATGCTTTGTTAATAATAGGTCTACCTTAGCTCCATTTCTTTAGGAAAGAAAAAAAAAGATAATTCCCATTCTGATATTTAATTTTTTAAATCTGTACTATCCTGACATCTGGCCAATGAGTTAATAAGAATCTGAACAATCAGGGTTCATTTACTTACTTTGTCTTACGCAAATATTTGCACCCTCGGAAAAATACATAAGTATTGAAAATAGTTTGAGATAAATTAAAGATCCAATTTAGCACTGTTATTCAGGACGGAAAAATTTCTATGAGAGGGAAGAAATGAAGAGGCAGACTCTAGGTGACTGCCACATTAGAAAACATGTCACTAAACGGTTCTTTCTTCATTTCTTTTTAAATACTACCCATCTTTTAATTTAGGAGACAATAGAATAAGCTGAGAAAATCATATTCCTTTTTACTTATGACTTGCAAATAAAATTATTGCCAATTTTTTCCCAAACTTTAGGTTTTAGGGGCAGAAGAATTAATTTTACTTTGATTTTTCTTCAGTCTCTAAATAACTGCTCACACAGGTAGTATAGGTCTTCCAAACTCAGAAGGACAGACATGGAGAGGGCAGGGTCACCACTGGGGTAGAAAGGAGGATTGGTTCTCCACTTGTAATTGAAGAACTAAAGTTTGCCAAGGAATTTTTATTATAGTCTTTTATTTCAAACTATTTGATTTGATTTTTTTTTTTTTTTTGCTTTGGTTTTAAATGAACCTCTGGCAAACTTGTTCCTTTCTGCCTATTTCTTTTCCGGTAAATCCATCGTGTAATTCGTATGTTCCTGTCTTCAATGTAATTCATAAACTCATTATTTTTAAATAATGCATGTCTCTATAGCCTATGTGGGTTTTCATGGAAACTGTAAAAAGAATAGTTATTGGTTGTATGTTGATATTTGAATTATTGGACCATCTGTGTGATTTTACATCAAGATAGATGGACAGTGCAGACATTTTATTTTTTAAATATTTAATTGCATCCTTTTGATCTGTCAGAGTGGTGCAGAATATATACAAATATACACACACACAATAGAATAAAAATGGCTATGTTGTTTGGGGTTACATTTCTTATTGTCCTTTGTGAAATTTTCATAACAAAGTTCTGGTAGTTTAATAATTGCTTTTATTAGTTTAATTCATCACTTTAATAATTTAAATTCATCTACCATATTTAGAAAGCTCAATACAACTTTTGAAAGATGAGTAATCAAAGCAAATCTTAGACTGTATGTCTTGAATGAGTGCTTCCAGGAGAGACCCAAGTCCCTCTTTAAGTGGATTTCTGTATTCTGGAGGGAAAAACATTAGGTCACAATTCTTAAGAGAGGAAGCTTCCTTTATGTCCAACTGCCTCATTTTTTTTCTGTATAATATTCTGTCTCAAGACTGAATTTCAGGCATATTGGCAAGAGGATTCAGCCCAACAGAAAGTTGGTGTTGATCCTTATAAAGCCTCTTCAACTGCCAAATTCTATGATTCCATTTCAGAATTGGGAAGCTCACATTCCTTTGCTATCTTTAGTTTGACAGTTTTTCCTTCTAAATGTATTGTTGACAGTCCAAGTTCAATGCTTAATCAGAATTACTGAAGTTAGACTTAAAGGGGAAATGTGGCAAAAAAAAATAGGATTATGATTTACTATATTTAACCTAAATCAATTTAGTGAGGCTTCCTGTTCTTGCTTATTTGCACTGAGGTCTTTACACCCGTGCTTATTTTTTCTGCTTTGTTATAGGCAAAGTTCTATAGGGTGAGAGTATCATAGACAAGTTTGAGTCCCATTTTGCCTATAATGAAGACTCCACAAACTTGCTAAAGAGTGAATGTTGCGATTTCCCAACAAAAAAAACAAATTGAAGTATCCATTAATAATGCAATCACTTATTTTAACAGACATCTCACAAAATGTGCCTATTCCCCAAATTAACCACAGCACCTTCCCACAAGGCAGATCAAAATCTAAGCATTTTATAAATATGTGATGTACATATATGCACATATATATTCTGTACATAGTGTGATAGAGTGAGCACTTACCAGGTGTGTGCTTTTGTTCTAGTATGGAAGAGGCAATTCATGTCTGTTTAGCATTTACTGTCTGTTCATTCCGCCCTTGCCTGCCTCTTCTTTCTGCTCCCCCATCTTCTGTTCATTCTACTATTTTCTATTATTGACTATAACAGAGACTATTCACTGAGTTTTCAATTATCCAGACCCATAAACCAGCAATTCTTTTTTTTTTTTTTTTGGAATAGCAACAAAACACCCAGCACAATATTCAGTATTACTATCAGCCAAAGGTCCCATATCTTTCTCAACTAAAAATCCTATTCCAAGCAGGGTTTATGCATGATTTAATCTTTAATATTCAGTTCTCTGGGGACTCAAGTATTGAGCTAATCTGAAGACATGATTCCTCAGATTTCTATTCTATTACTGTAGCCAGAGGGCCAATTTCCCAAAGCTTCCCCGCAATTGGTTGCATCAATTAGGGTTCTTTCCATCTCATTAGCACGACTCCATATACTGCTTCAGTGCTTGTTTATTAATGAAAGAAAGATATAATTTGCCTCAGTTTCTCAAGAACAGTCCCGTGAAGTACACTGGACATGTACATGTACTGTATGTATTACCGTAGAGATTGGAAACAATTTATTGTATGTAAAGTTTTATGAATTGGTTATTTTATAATTTATGTATTTAATATAGGAATCAATGAACTCTGGTGTTTTAGTTTCTATAAAAATAAAACAAGCTGCATTTTTTAAAACATGATCTTGTATTGTTTGTAAGTGGCTGATGTGACTTTTTTGTTTTAATTTTTCTTAACTGAACACTATTTTGGAAAAACCGGGTGAAACATAGTCACAAAGACCAATGGAATAGAACAGAAGACACAGGGGCAAACCTGACATTTCACAAGGATGCCAAAAATATATCTTGGAGAAAAGATAATCTGTCTAATAAATGGTGCTGGGAAAACTGAATAGCTATTTGTAGAAAAGTGAAATTAGACCCTTATCTTTTACCCTGCACAAATCTCAAACAGAAATGAATCAAAGACTTCACAATTAGACCAGAAACTCTACAAATGCTAGAAAAAAACATAGGCTCAACTCTCCAGAATGTAGGTGCTGGTACAGACTTCCTTAAGACCCCCCAAAGGACAAAAAATAAAACCAATAATAAGTGGGATGATATTAAACAAAGAAGCTTCTGTACAACTAAGGAAACGATGAAGGATGTGAAAAGAGCCTACAGAATGGGGGAAAATCTTGGCCACCTACTTCTCTGATAGGGGATCAATATCCTGAAAATACAGATAACTCATGAAACTTTGCAACAACAACAAAAAATAACCCAATCAATAAATGAACAAAAGAACTAAACAGACGAAACACAAAGGGCCAATAAATCCCTGAAAAAAATGTTCAACATCTCTAGCAATCAGCGAAATGCAAGTCAAAACTACACTAATGTCTGGGGTTGTGGCTCAGTGGTAGAGTGCTTGCCTGGCATGTGTGAGGCACTGGGTTGGATTCCCAGCAGCACATATAAATAAATAAATAAATTAAATAAAGGTTCATCAACAACTAAATATATTTAAAAAAAGAAAAACTACATAAAGATTTCATATCACTCCAGACAGAATGGCAATAAATCAAGAATACAAACAACAGTAGATGCTCACCAAGTTGTAGGGAGAAAAGAACAATTGTACATGGTTGGTGGAACTGCAGGCTAGTACAACCACTCTGGAAAGCAATTTGGAAATTCTTCAAAAAACTAGGGACAAGCCACCATATAACCCAACTATCCCACTCCTAGATATTTTCCCAAAATAACTAA